GTTGAGTCATCCATAGAACCCGCCGCAAAACAGTTATTATCCTGCTGCCCTGTGTTTTAGTAAGCGGCACAGAAATGTGTAGTAAAATCATGGAAACTTGGAAATAAGAAACATTTCTTAAAAAAAAAAAAAACTTGAAAGATCATGGCATCCAAATGTATTGTTTAGCAAGTGAGAAAATTGAGACTCAGGGAAATTAAATGTGTTGCCCCCAAAGCCACAAGGCTACTTAGTGACCAGTCTGCCCAGTTCTCAGGTCTCAATTCCTATTCAGGACGCTTTACACTGCTCATGGTGTTTTTGTTAGTTAAATCCAAGTTGCTAAATTTGTAGTGTTGAAAAGCAAAGATGTCACCTTTAAGAGTAAGGTGCGCCTGACCCAAGCCATAGTATTTTCAATTGCATCGTATGCATGCAAAAGCTGGACAATCAATAAGGAAGACTGAAGAAGAATTGGCGCCTTTGAATTGCGGTGTTGGCAAAGCATAGTGACTATACCACGGACTGCCAAAAGAATGAACAAATCTGTCTTGGAAGAAGTACAACCAGAATGCTTCTTAGAAGCAATGATGGTGAAACTTCCTCTCATGTACTTCGGACATGTTATCAGGAAGAACCAGTCCTTGGAGAAGGACATCATGCTTGGTAAAGTACAGGGTCAGTGAAAAAGAGGAAGACCCTCAATGAGATGGATTGACACTGTGGCTGCAACAATAGGCTCAAGCATAACAACGATTGTGAGCATGGTGCAGGACCAGGAAGTGTTTCATTCTGTAGTACATAGGCTTGCTAAGAGTTGGCACCAACTCGATGGCACCTAACAACAACAACAAATTTTTAAAGCTAGGTACAGAGAATGACCATATCTCTAATTTTCAAAGAAATGAAACAAAGCTACACAGAATCCCAAATTCACCCTGAACGAAATTGAAGTTGTCAGGATCTTGCAGAACCCCTGGCCTATCCTTTGAGATATCATAGGTCCACAGTGGTCTGTACACATCTTTCTCATAGTGTAATGCCTAATGGTGGTACCATCCATAACCCATCATGGAGATGGCACAGACGAGGCAGCATTACATTCCATTGCACACGGGGTCACATTTAACAACAACAACATCTAATGGAATAAATTATTGTAACATTGCCATTTTCAAATACTTATAAATTATTTTAACTGCTCCTGAAATGGTGAAAACTTCAAATTCCTTGAATGATATTTTTTCTGTATATTTTATTACTTCCTTTAAGTCTTTGCTCAGTTATTACCGTCTGAATGAGGTCTTCCTTAAATACTCACTTTAAAATTGCAAACTGCACCACACACTCCCTACCCCTTAGGGACTTACTAGTCTCTCTTTATGATTTATTTGTTTCTCCAAGTCAATTACTGCCATCCAACAAATGACAGTTATGCCCTTTTGTTATCATCCCTGAACTGCAACGAAAATTCTGTGAGTGCAGGGATTGCTCTGCAACCCCAGCAGGTGAGTGCCAAGTATATTATAGGTGTTCAGCAAATACTTACTGAATAGATGAATGAGCATAAAAACAAAAAATTCAAAATGTACATTAAGTGTCTTGGCCTCATGCAGACTGAACGTTTAGAATCTAAATAAATTTCCGATGAATATCTTAATTTTTTGCTCTTCCTTGGTCTATCAATTATAACATAAGGTGCAGATTTTGACAGCAAACAGCAACAGCAACAAAACAAAACAAACAATAAACACAAAGATAATACGGAAAGACTAACCTAAATGAGCAAGTTGATTTTTTTAAGCAGTTAACTTTTATAACATTTAAACAAGTCATTACTTTTATTTACTTAAAATTTAAGTTTTAATTTATTTTTTTCTTCATGGATGTGTAGGAGACTGATCTTCTTAGATGACATTCTCAAACGTTTCAGAAATCATCAGAAATTTCTTAGTCTAAGCACTTTAAAAGTACTCTGTAATTTATAACTTTTCATGACAAAATTTGTTTTTATTCTTCTCCTTAAAAGATTAGATAGGAGCCTTAGGGGACAGTGAGTTTATGTTAATGAGGAAAACAACTCAGAGAAGGAGGGTGAGAATGTTTGCACAACTCGAAGAATGTAATCAATGTCACTGAGTTGTACGTGTAGAAACTGTTGAATTGGTGTATGGTTTGCTGTGCATAGTCTCAACAACAACAAAATAAATAAAATTATAAATAAGTAAATAAAAACAAAAACAGCTATCTGAAACACTTGAAAAGAAAATAGGGTGCATTCTGTGTTCTTGTGGTCAACATGATCCAGGTCTCATGACAGGTTCTTTAGTATGTCCCTGACCCCAACTTAGAAACTGTGCCACTTCTATTAATCCAGCTGTGCGCTCTCAAACATTCATTTTAAAAACATCTCGGCTGCAAAATACAGCTAAACAAAACATCTTCTGTGAATACTGCCAGGCTCTGAATCATGTACTATCCATGAGTTAAAAACAGAGGCCTGAGAGCCTGGGATATTTTAATGTCAGCAGCTGGTGGGGAGTGAGGTGGAGATTTGTCCCTCTTGTCTCTTCCCCAGCCTTTCATTTCTTTGAATACTTAGGCTTGGTATTGATTTATCTCTATAGCAGTGTTATTGGAGCTTTAGTCTGAAGGCAATACAGAGATAAGGAAACCCTGGTGGTGCAGTGGTTAAGAGCTACAGCTGCTAACCAAAAGGTCGGCAGTTTGAATCCACCAGGAGCTCCTTGGAAACCCTATGGGGCAGTTCTACTCTGTCCTACAGGGTTGCTATGAGTTGGAATCAACTGGACCCTACGGGTTTGGTCTTTTTTTTTTTGGTAGCAGTTTCAGGAGCCCTGGTGGCCCACTGGTTAAAGAGTTCAGCTGCTAACTGAAAAGGTCGGCAATTCAAACCCACCAGCCACTCCGTGTGAGAAAGATGTAGCAGTCTACTTCCATAAAGATTGTTATCGTTGTTAGGTACCTTCAACACAGTTCTGACTCATAGCGACCCTATGACCAACAGAACAAAATGGTCCTGCGCCATCCTCACAATCCTTGCTATGCTTCAGCCCATCCTTGCAGCCACTGCATCAATCCCTCTCGTTGAGGGTCTTCCTCTTTTTTTGTTGACCCTCTACATTACCAAGCATGATGTCCTTCTCCAGGAACTGGTCCCGCCTAACAACACATCCAAAGTACTTAAGACAAAGTCTTGCCATCCCCACCTCTAAGGAGCATTCTGGCTGAACGTCTTCCAAGGCAGGTGTGTTCATTCTTCTGGTGAAACTCACTGCCGTTGAGTTGATTCTGACTCATAGCAACCCTGTAGGACAGAGTAGAACTGTCCCATAGGGTTTCCAAGCAGCGGCTGGTGGATTCAAACTGCTGACCTTTTTGTTAGCAGTCAAATGCTTAACCACTGTGCCACCAGGGCTCCATTCTTCTGGTAGCCCATGATACATTCAATATTCTTTGCCAACACCTTAGTCCTTATAGTGACATCTTTGCTTTTTAACACTTGAAAGAGGTCTTTTGCAGCAGATTTGCCAAATGCAATGGGTTGTTTCATTTTTTGACTGCTGCTTCCACAGGCGCTGATTGTGGATCCTGGTAAAATGAAATCATTGACAACTTCAATATTTTCTCCGTTTATCATGCTATTACTCACCGGTCCAATTGTGAGGATTTTTCCGTTTTCTTTGTGTTTAGGTGTAATCCATACTGAAGGCTGTAGTCTTTGACCTTCTTCAGTAAGTGCTTCAAGCCTTCTTTGCTCTCAGCAAGCAAGGTTGTGTCATCTGCATTTTGCGGGTTGTTAATGAGTCTTTCTCCAATCCCAATGCCCTATTCTTCACATAGCCCAGCTTCTCCAATTATTTGCTCAACATACAGATTGGATAAGTATGGTGAAAGGATACAACCCTGACGCACACCTTTCCTGACTTTAAACCACACAGCATCCCCTTGTTCTGTTTGAATGACTGCCTCTTGGTCTATGTAGAGGTTCTTCATGAGCACAATTAAGCGTTCTGGAATTCCTATTTATGTTATCCATAATTTGTTATGATCCACACATTTAAATGCCTTTTCATAGTCAATAAAACACAGGTAAACATCTTTCTTTCATTCTCTACTTCAGCCAAGATCCATTTGACATTAGCAATGTTATCCCTTGTTCCTCATTCTCTTCTGAACCTGGCTTGAATTTCTGGCAGTACCCTGTTGATGTACTATGCAACCACTTTTGAATTATCTTCAGCAAAATTTAACTTGTATGTGATATTAATGATATTGTTTAATAATTTACACATTCTGTTGGATCACCTTTCTTTAGAATGGGCAAAAATGTGGATCTCTTCCAGTCACTTGGCCAGGTAGCTGTCTTTCAAATTTCTTGTCATGGACAAGTAAGCACCTCTAGTGCTGCATCTGTTTGAACCGGGAAGCTTTCTGCCCCTGGGAAGTGCTAGGAGAGATTGACGCATGTGCATTGAGGTTTGCTTCAGAGTGTATACAATGCACACATCATGAATCAAGAAAATGTACCTCTGTATAAAATAGATGAAAATCACATTTTCGGGATGACAGAAAAAAAAGAAAATAAGCACGCTGTTGCACACTGTGAACAATTAGAAGTTAAAACAAAAAAAGATGAGAAAACAAATACTTTACAAATAACGTGATGGAATATTTCAGGAGTCTGGGAAAGAAGAAGTCATGAGTCCAAAATAGTTTCCATTGAGTTCTTTAGAGGCCTATTAAAAAAAAAAGTTATTACAAAAGTTGTTTTCTTTCAGTAAGCGTCCGGGCCCCATATGAAAGCACACACGATACTCTGGTAAAATTACTAAAGATCATCAGAAACTAAACTTCAGCTTAAAGTTCTATTGAATACAACATATTAATCTACTAAAAATGCATTTTAAATATTTACATATAATTTGCTCAGGAGAACCAGCTAAAGAGGTTCACAAGAGTACAGCCAATTTGGCTATTAGTCATCAAGTGATACATACCTCGGGTTTGTGATAGAAGAGGTTGACATTTATCTTCCCCAGTGTGGTGATGCAGCACTGATTTTCTGAACTGTCCTTCCCAGAGTTCAAGGAACAAAGAGTGGAGAGGGTTTTCAAGGCCTGTGCTCCTTAATATCCTCTTCAAATACCCTCATGGAAAGAAAAAAGCAAAGGAAGCTCATTTCTTTAGGCTCCTGAGTTCTTCAATTGAAAGCAGATGCAGAGAAAAGATGCAATAAAATTTTGTTACCTAAATGCTTACCTCAACAGATCACAGTCGATCTGAAAGTCCAACTTATATATTCCTGACAGACGTAAGCTTAATGTGAATTGCAAGGCTTGGCCCCATTTTCAGCAGTCAGTGCAAAGAGAGAAGTTCAGGTAAGACTTCTGACAAGAAAAGGCAGCTACAGCCTTGTCTCTTAAATTGAAGGAAATATTAGGGATGGTGTTTAGAAAGATAATTGCTCCTATTTTGTGTTTAGATCTCCTTGCTTAAAACATCATTTCAAATACTATGTCTCTTATTTTATGTCTAGTATGGGGCAATTGGTACCCTGGTGGCACAGTGGTTAAGAACTCAGCTGCTATCCAGAAGGTTGGCAGTTTCAATCTACCAGGTGCTCCTTGGAAACCTTATGGGGCAGTTCTACTCTGTCCTATAGGATCGCTGTGAGTCAGAATCGACTTGACGGCATTGGGTTTGGTTTGGGGTTTTGGATGGGGTGATTGGTTATGTAACTAATGATTGGTATTTTTACAGTGGAGCGCCATCTTACAATACATCACAATCTCATCGTGATGTCCAGTGCTAGTTAGAAATGCTGGATGGAAAGCTACTGCTGCCCTGGTCACCGCACATTGACAATCATGGACACATCAAGCACATGGCCTACAGCAGGGGGTTCCAAAGTACAGCTGCCACTTCTATGCAACCCACATAAGAGCACTTTAAATATTAGAGAATTTCACCCCAAAATCCCTATGTCTGGCTTTCATCCTTGATTACGATGGATTAGCACTGATTAGTGGCTGCCTTTTTAGCTAGGGCCTATTCAACTCTCCTCACCATTCAGTATGGCCTTACCCTTAATCTACATCAACCTATCTAGGCCTATAAACATTTCAGTTTGCAAAGTCAACCCTGGCATCTCTAATGTAAAACACATCATAATAGATTACAGCATAGGTTCTACCTCGATGGAATCTATCTCTGAGTGAATATTAAGACATTCATTTGTCGACAAATATTTGTTGAATGAATATGTCACATCACCGTTTATTCACCTATGAAAACACTCAGTGGCTCTTCTGCTGTGTTATGCAAAATAAAGCAGTTACACTGTAAACCTGTTTAAACAAACCACTTGTCTGAGCTTCACAGCTATCACAGTACAAACCACAAAAATTACGTAGTTCTTAATCATAAACTAGCTCATGTTTTTTGTCCGCTTTCATGTATCTTATTCTTCTCTTTCCAGTGAAACTACAAATCGTCAAAGTCAGGATGTTTGTCCTTTATCTCTATAATCCCCCATGGTGTTTTGTACACGGTAATAATGCAAAAAGTACATGTTTATTTATTTAAAACCTTGTATGAAGCAGAAACTTCCCAATATCCTTCAACAGTGATGACGTTGCAATGTCTGAGACCACCCTCCTCTGCCCTCTCTTCCCTTATAGGAAGAATCCAAGGCTGAATCACACAAAGCAATGCCAACTATTTTTTCTGGATTTGTCTTCTATTGGCTTCTTTCCCTCAAATCACAAGCACAACTCCTCTGAAGCAGGCCCTACCAGAGATACGATAATGATCAATCTTTGATTACAATGAGTACACAGTGCTAGAACACAACACTGGTTACTGGCACTTACATGTTCACACCAGGCCCTGCCAAACCACATGTCTTCCAGTCCAAGGAGCTCCCTATCAAACACAGGGCAGGTTCTCAGACTGCTCACGCAAGAAGATGAATCAAGGGCTCCAAAGGCAAATAATAAACTCCCCTCTTCTTGGCAGAGACCATAGACTAAGAAGAACTGAAATTGATCCCACGAACACAGAGAATCATCTAAAGTGAGTGCACCCAGACTCTCCTCATTGTAAAAGAAGACTTTAATAGATTGAAATAGACTAGGATAAAATGGAAGTTTTACTCTTGGGTCAATGGGTTGGAGCAGGATGTGACCATGATGCCATAAATATGACACAATGAAGTAGATATGTGGGTCTAAGCAATCTGGCCTTTGCTCTGATATTTTACTTATTTTTGCTTCATCTTGTCCCAGTATAGTACATAGCTCATAGCAGGTGTTCAAGAACTGTTTGTTGGGTGGAACTGTTATATCATTAAGAATAGTTAAGAAGTCTTCAATGGAATCCAAATTCTCATATTGGAAAAAGAATGGTCAGTTTTAGAGAAGGCAAGTGGTTGCTAGTATAAAAAACTGTGACTAGATTCATACATAATTAAGAACAAGGTGATATTAAAATCAAAACGTCATCATTTCATCATAAGTAAAAACAGAGAAGAAGACTATATTCTCCTTTACTGCATAGAGCAAGGATTATTGAGTCTTTCGTGGGATGCTAGCAATGCTGTTTTTATGTGTTTAATTACATCAGATTATCACTCAAAGTAGAGCCCTGGTGGTGCAGTGGTTAAGAGCTATGCTGCTAACCAAAAGGTTGGCAGTTCAAATCCACCAGCCACTCCTTGCAAATCCTATGGGGAAGTTCCGCTCTGTCCTATAGGGTCACTACAAGTCAGAATCAACTCGACAGCAATGGGTTTTTTGGGTTTTTGGTATTACTTGAAGTGATAATCAATTCAGTAGTTTAGGGAGTAAGAAGTAATAGACAGAAGGAGAATGTTTATGTGGACCCACTTCTTATCATTTCCTTTTTCCCTTCGTGGTTCACCAGTGACAATCCTTATATGGTTCTATAAGGTGAGTAGTGGCATTGAAAGGAACCAGGAAGAAAGGTCCAGACCTCACATGTAATTGTGGCCAATGACTTATGAGGGTTGCTAATCAGCATTAGTTAATAGTTTGAAATATTATTATTTGATTTCCTACAAAACTGATTCTTTTTTCAATTTTTATTTATTTTGCTGTTGTTGAGAATATACACAGCAAAACATACACCAATACAACAGTTTCTACATGTACAATTCAGTGACACTGATTACATTTTTTGAGTTGTGCAACCATTCTCACCTTCCTTTTGTGAGTTGTTCCTCCCTCATTAACCTAACCTCACTGCCCCCTAAGGTTCCTATTGAGTATTTGGAGATGCTATTGTCAATTCGATCCCATTTAGATAGTTCTTAAACGAGCATAATGCTCAAGGTAGACATTTTTTACTAGCTAAGCTAAACTATTGTTAGGTTTTGAGGAGATTTTTTGGTTTAAGTTTTAATGATTATCTCAGGGCAATCGTTTTGGGGTACATCCAGCCTCCATGGCTCCAGAGTCTGTGAAAATTTGAAATTCTGTTCTGCATTTCCCCCTTTTGATCAGGATTCCTCTATAGAATCCTTGATCAAAATGTTCAGTAATGGCAGCCAGGCACCATCCAGTTCTCCTGGTCTCATGGCAAATGTGGCAGTTGTTTATTGAGGCAATTAGCCACATATTCCATATCCTCCTCCTATTCCTGACTCTCTTTCTTCCTCTGTTGCTCCAGGTGAATACAGACCAATTATTATGCCATGGATGGCCGTTTGTAGGCTTTTAAGACCCCAAACACTACACAACAAACTAAGAGGTAGAACTGAAGCATTAAACACGTTATTAGCCCAATTAACTGGAATGTGCCATGAAACCATGACTCTAAACCTCCAAACCAAGGAACCAAATCCATGAGGTGTTTGGTTGTACATAAACAACCTCAACAGCTACTCTTTTTTCTTTTTTTTGTTATCATTGTAAACTTACCTATTAGACTTTTGCCAATTCACCTTTTTACACGTGTACAACTTCTTGACAGTGATTACAATTATCAGCTGTGCAAACCTACCCTTAATCAATGTTATTTTCAACACTGATTCTTAATCACAGCTCAAATTCTACCTCCATAGTGGGATCTTTTTTGACTATCACATCTAAATACTACTCCTCTACCAGACCCAGTTATACTCTTATTTTACCCTATTTTATTATCTCAGTAGCACTTATATTTTGAAATAACATTCTGTAATTTTTTGTTTACTTTTTTATTGTCTGCCACTTCCCCCACTACAAGTTTCAAATCAGCAGGAACACTTTCAGTCATATTTATCACATAGTAGGTGCTCAATAAATATTTAGTAAAAAATAATGAACAAATGAGCATTAGATGTTTTCAAATATCAAAATCACTATATCAAAATTAAAAACATTATTCTTTATTAAATTTTTTAAATGATTTGTTAAAAACATTGTTCTAAGTACATATGCCTAAAGTATTTTTGAGCATCACCCACTCTTGATTCCATCTCTAAACATTGCTCCATTTCTCAGCTTCATCCTATTGCTGTCCAGTCGATTCTGACTCATAGCGACCATATAGGACAGAGTAGTACTACCCCATAGCGTATCCAAGGCTGTGAATCTTTATGGAACATCTTTCTCCCGCAGAGGAGCTTGTGGATTCAAACAGCCAACCTTTCGGTTAGCAGCTGAGCACTTAATCTCTGTGCCACTAGGGCTCCACTTCTCAGCTTTAGCGAATCCCAACCCAGGGATGGGGTAGGAGGTGGAGACATGGGAGATGCAGGGATGCAGTAAGTCTCAAGGAAGGGATTCATAGTTGTCTTTCACAATTTCTTTGGTAACAAAAAAGCAGAAGTTTGATATTTTGTTGTATAGACCACAGTAAATTATTGATGACCTCAGCTAAAACACTTCATTTCCCTGACTCCCGTAGGGTAAGCCAAGCAGAAGTCATTGAGTAGATCTTCCAGGAATGCCCTTTACAGTGGGTTGACTAAGCTGCGAGAGGAGGGCCCTTACCCTTTACACCTTCCTCTTTTTTCCTCCTGGGGAGAGGACATATGCAGTGTCTAGGACTACCACAGGGAAGCTTAAGGTTGGAAGCCACATAATAAGGATAAGGGAGCTGAGAGAGAAGGGTCTGGACCACTGGACCACTCATGATGTCATCAGGCCATCATACCAGTGCTAGATTGCTACCTTTGAATTTTTTTTTTTTTTTGAGAAAAAAATAAGTTGTTTCTGCCACCATTTGGGTTCCTTTTTGTTTTGTTTTGTTTTTTTCTTGTGCTATTCAGCCAAACCTATCCTAATCAACATATCATCAAAAGGGCTGTAACTAAGAGTAAATAAAAATGATCAATTAAGT